GCTCGTAACTTGATTGCTATGATTCCCAATTGGTTTGCACTTAAATCTGGGAAACTTAATTTTTGGCCATTTTTTGAAAATTTTGATGATGGTACCCCTTACCAAAAATGCGAAATTTGGGTCAAAATTTATTTTCCCAAAATCGAAAAACGAGTGATAGGGGTGGAAAGTATTGGTCGTTAGCAGCACAAAACGGTCATTCTTTTGGCTGTGCGTCTTGTTTTGACCGAGCTAGAGCTAAAAAGCCGGAAAAAATATTCCGAATTTCTGTAGAAATGGGTTTTTCGATTTTTTAGCCGTTAACAAAAATGCGAAATTTTTCCAAAAATTTAAATTCACCAAATCGTCAAACCAATGATGAGGAAAGTTTGTGTTGATCGTTAGCTTCACAAAACTGTTTTTATTTTAGCTCTGAGCCCTATTTTGACAAAGTTATAAGCTAAAACCCCGATTAAAATATCACCTTTTTTTCCGTTAAAAGTATACATTTTTTTGTTTGGTAATTTTTCATAGAAATTGATGATGTTATTCCTTAGACAAATTTTGTTGATACTTTTTGTTTATCCCTAAAAATAGTAGCCATAAATGGTGGGGGTTGTTAGCAGGGCTGGGCATTCATTAATCGCGTGTTAGCTTTGGCACCCCCACCTCGGGTGCTCATCTTACTCCCCACTCACACCTTTCCTTTGTAATATTTCCTTTTTCCCCCTGGATTTTCCGCGCTTTTGCAACGCTTGTGCGCCTCTTTTTGTCTCTGGCTTTTTACCATTTCGACGGCTTTGTGCTGGGGGCCTTTGTTTGCCTTCATTTTCCTTTTGTAGTCGATGTCTCATTGTTGTTTTTCTTTTATCGATTTCCCAAGCGAATTGCAACCAACAGCGGCGAACTTTGCAGTGCCCAATTATTGTCTTTTCAAAAGCTAACTTTGGATAGAAAAATAATGCTAATATTAATTTTGATATCGTTAATTGGTGTTATCGAAGTCATAAGCCTTTGGGATGTGGTTCGACTTGTGTACGAGGTGATGTGCAGTCTGTCATGGGTTAATTGCCTGGTCAGCTCTAATTATTGATTGCCGCCGACTCGGTCGGTCATTAGCTGGCGAAGAAAGTTCGCGATAGCGATAGCAATGCACAGTCTTCTTCTTTGTTGCTTTTATTATTATTTTTAACAATGAATGTTGTGTATATATTATATCACATTACCCCCCGGGGTAGCTTGTGTTTGTGTGTGCCACCCAAAGAACCTCCCACTTCTTTTGGCTGGTTCTTTGTTGACTTTGGTATCCTTAAGTCTTTGGCAAATTTCCTGCGGCTCTTTCCACTGCGCTCCAGTTTAATGATTTTCCCAAATGAAATGCAAATATGGCATTGTTTGTTCTACATCCCCCTCATCCCCTTTCACCGCCTCTCCCTTTCTTCCTTTGTTCTATTTAATGCTTTTCTATGCGCTTTTAGTTAGACTTTCACTTTCATGGGGTTGGATGAGCTGGCCAATAAATGGTGCTGCTGTGCAAGCAACAGGCGGTGATGAGACAGTGGAATTGGAATGTATTTTTGGGTCTCCCTGTTTTTCTTTTTCTTCTGTTTAATTTTCTATGCTTTTGCTTATTTCATTTCACTTTCGCTGTTAAATGCCCGCCTCTCAATTTATTTTTAGCCTTTTAGCCAATTCAGTTCGATAGCCTAGACCCAAAAAGGAGCACGGAACGAAACGGAACGGGTGGGAAAACATGTTTTGCTTTGACATTTTCCCACATTCGGAATCAATAATTCCCAGCGCCGGTATAAATAGCCTGTAAAAAACATGTCTCAAGGCAATTACCACTGTTAATAGTACCAACCACGGCAAATGTCAGGGCGCATTATCGACATGCAAGTTCAAGACCAAGTAACTAAGTAAACAAGAACCGCAACCGCTAGGCTCGGCAGGCCCCTCGCAAGACCAGCCTCCTCTCTCCTTTTCGCTGGAAACCCCACCACTTAAGTTCGCCCCCTTCCTTTCCCCACACTCATTTGATATTTAAATGGAAGTTGACTCGAACTCGAAACTGGAACCTAGCGCGGCACGTGGAGAGCACAGTGCAAGCCGGTGACCTGGCGCCAAATGAAAATTACATGAAATAAATATTAGCAATTGGAATGAGAAATAGGAAAGACTACTGTCCAGGATTAGTCTTTGAATTTTCCCATACTATACCATTATGATTCATTTCATAGGAATTTCCTAAGAAAGTTTGCTTTCCTTCCAATAGATCATGTTAATATCACGATCATTATAAAAGGGGAACCGCCCACAGGGTAAACCAGTTTTTCTTTATGTAACTTACGATTATGATAATACCTAACAGGTGTCCAGAAGTTATGTGAAAGGAAAACAAGCTTTAGTTTTGTAAACACTATTCTGAGAATGCCTAATAAGTTAGTGAATATCCCCCTTAAAAGGCGAAACGGTGACCTTCTTCTGGTACCCTCTCAAGGGTTTGTAATAACTTATAGGCATTATGTATTAATAAATCGGATTGAGGCTTTTCCCCTAGTCTATGCCCCAATGTCAAGTCGATAATAATAAAAAACAAATGACGCAGGAGCTAACAGAATGGGTGGCTTATAGTGGGGGCTTGTGGTCTTAAAAGGCAAAAGTCAAAGACGTGTAAGGGTTAAGCAAAGAAAGTTACGTTTTAGGGACTTTGCTTCTTTGAAAAAATCTTGGAACTTGGAAAGGATTAAACTTGAGAGGATTATATTCCTAGATTTGTGATCATTAACTTAGCTTAACCAAGAAATTTCTTTACTGGAAAGGTTTAGAAACTACGAAGTTATCTTTCTAGAGATATGGCAGTGAACACCCTGTTCGAACTGCACCACCCTGTTGCTCGGCGAGAGTTAGGGCTGTAGGTTGCCATGTTGGTTCATCCCCCAACGAGCTGGGTTTCGCTTTTCTGTTTCTTTATTATTTCTTTTTTTTTTACCGTTTTCCTTTTGTTTTTGCGGCATAGCATGACCTAACCAACTAAACCAACAAACTGACCTAAGCACCCTCTGAAATTCCCTGCCCCGCCCCTCTCACTAGCTCCTGGGCCCCCTAGTTGGACACTTGTCATCGTCTGCAAAACCGCTTTCAACCTGAAACCAAACAAGAGGGGGGGTTTGGCATACGGACGGACACGGAGATGGAGACGTCCGAGGCGGATTGTGTTGTTGTTTTAATGGGGTTCGCCTTTGGTCTATTGCGCACTGTCGTCTGTTGACCACCACCAGTGTTGGCTTTTTTTTTTTGTGTTAATGTTTGTCTTCTATGAGTTTACCGTTGTTCTTTGGTTAGTACTTTCTTTGGTCAGCGGTTCCATTTCATTACAATTTGACTTGCGGACACTCCTCTTGTTTGCCGTACTGCGGCGTGTTGTCCTGCGTCCTCGAAAACACTTTCGTCTAATAGCTTTCGTAGCTCCTCTTCTACCTTTATTACGCCATTATTCCGATACGATTCCGTTTGATGGGATCTAGATGGTAACTGCTGTAGGAATTAGTAATTGCTAGTAATAATATTAATCCAGAGAACGCAGACTGTTAGGGTTAATATCAGATTATAGTTGAGTTTTAATTCTACTTTAGTAGGTTTATCTCTCAATGTATTAAATTTAAAGATCGCTGATTAGCTTCTGAGTACTCGCAGTTTTCCCTTTTCTTCTGCAGACGGCAATCTTGAGTACTTGATTTTATAGATTTCGCACTTCAGTGGTTGATTTTGATTACAGTGCTTGCTGTTTCAGCCGTCGATATACATAGTTTAAGTGCCTTATTTTTAGCCGATCTCCCCACCTGCTGTTTTAGCTGTTGCTTAATTTATATATATATATTTGTGTTCTTGTTTGATATAACACCTCCGCTCTTTAGCACTCTTGATAAATGTGTGCAGTTGTAAATTAATGGGCAATGGGCCCGGCAACCAGAAACAATGGCCATATGCCTGCCTGCCTGCCTGCCTTGCATATAAATAAATAAAAAAACGCGCTTGCTGTTTTATTATGATTTTGCTTTTTTTGACTTTTATTGTAGTATTTTTTTTAAGGCTGATAAAAAGCCATTTTAAAGTTGTGATAAGATTAAGTGGTCTTTATGGCTGCTAGAGGAATCATAAAAGAAGAAGAATAGGCTTCGGGAGCTTATCATTTTCGGTTGTATCTCTCCATCTCTTTCCATCACTCCAAAATTGCAGCTGCGTTTGATTCCGTTCTGTCCGCGGTCTTGGCAGGTGTTTCAATGCCAAGCGTTCAACATTTCGCTTAGGAAAGTTTGCTTTCCATCTCGCTCAGCAGAATTCGTTGTCCCTTTTTTGTTCTTCCGTTTTCCTCTCTACTCCGCCGGCCCCTAACCATTGCTCGGCGCTTCTTTCTTTCACTGCGTAGTGTTTCATTGTCATACATTCCGCGGTCCCCGTGGCCTGCATATGCATGTGTGTGCGTGCCTGCGCCAGCGATAATAATTTGGAATTTGAGTTGTCGTTTTCGCTCTGCTTCTGTTTCGCTCTTTCTCTCTGTTTCGGCTTGTGTGTGTTTCTGTTTCTGTTTCTCAGTTTCGTTTGGGTTTCTCGAGTTCTCAGTTCATTCGCGACCTCAAAGGCGGCCGCACATGTTGCACGCTGCGAAAAAAAAACACACAAACGGACCACACAACCGAAATAAATAGCCAAAATAGACATTTAAATATTGAAAATCACAAAGATCTCTTTCGCCGCTGTGTTTTTTTTTTTTTGTTTTGTTGTTGTTCCTTCGCGTGAGTGTGTTTAAATTTAAATGTTTTTTGTTTGGCTTTTCTTTATGTATTTTTTTTACGGTGTCCAAAGAAAATAAACCGCAATGCTGGGCTAAATTTAGCCAAAAACCCAAAATTGATCAAGTTTATTTTTGAAAGTGCAGCAAAAACAGCAAAAGTCGGTATTGGCAACTCAGAAAAAACAACCACTAATTCGATTTCCTTTTGATTTTAACATATAATTAGGCAATGTGACTGTGAAGCGCCACGACAAAAAAACGAAAAACAAAAACAAAAAGTTATTTAAAAAATAAAACAATTTTGAACCCAAAAAAAGCAAAGAAAACAACCAGAAAGTGTGCCCACTTTGAGACACTTTGATAACTTTTTAAGAACCAAACAAGAAAATACTCTAACGCCTAGAGTATTTAACAGACCATTAGAAACCTGATGGCAACAACAACAACAACGCAGGCAGCAGGAGCTGCACCAGCTCTTAATTTATTGCCCGCCAGCAGCAATAATAACCTAAACAACACACAGAACAATACCAACATCAATAATAATAATATTAACAGTAATAACAACAACAACAACAACGTTGTGATAAGCCAGCCGATTAAAATACCGCTGAACGAGCGTTTCTCATCGCAAACATCGACAGGCTCAGCGGACAGCGGGGTAATTGTTTCCAGTGCATCGCAGCAGCAACTGCAGTTGCCGCCACCACGCAGCAGCAGCGGTTCCTTGAGCTTGCCACAGGCGCCACCTGGTGGTAAATGGCGTCAGAAGCAGCAGCGCCAGCAATTGCTCCTCAGCCAAGATAGCGGGATCGAGAATGGTGTCATCACCAGCAAGGCCAAGGATGGCCAGGGCGTGGGAAAGCCCAGTCATAAGGCCATCAGCTCCAAGGAGAACGGCGGCCAGTCGAACAGCAGCAGCGAAAGTCTGGGCAGTAATTGCTCTGAGACGCAAGATCAGCAGAGAATAAGGGCCTCGTCTGCCCTGGAGCTGAGCAGTGTGGACAATCCGGTGGTGCCGTCCGGTAATAACATCCTGCGCAGCCGTATTAAGTATAGGAGTACGAATAGCACCGGGACCCAGGGATTCGATGTCGAGGATCGCATCGATGAGGTAGATATCTGTGATGATGATGACGATGATTGCGACGATGTGGAAATCGAAGAGGAGGACGATGGCGTCAATGTGGACGACGATGTCGAGGAGGCCGACAACCAATCGGACAATCAGTCTGGTATTATAATAAACCTTAAAAGCAAAACCGAACAAGATGAGCAGGAGCGGCAGAGGGAACGGGAACGAGAACGGGAGCGGGAGCGGGAGCAAAGGCAGGACACGGATGAGGGAGATTCAAAGGAGGTGAATGTTAAGCCTAAGACCCGATTACTGCCACCAGATCAGGCGGAACTAACGGTGGCAGCCTCCATAGCGCGTCGACGCGATGCCAAGAGTCTAGCCACCGATGGCCATATATATTTTCCCCTGCTCAAGATCAGTGAGGATTCGCATATTGATTCGAAGCTGATCAATCGCAAGGATGGCCTCCAGGATACCATGTATTATCTGGACGAGTTCGGTAGTCCCAAGCTGCGAGAGAAGTTCGCCCGCAAGCAGAAACAGCTGCTGGCCAAGCAGCAGAAACAGATGATGAAGCGGGAGAGGAGGAGCGAGGAGCAGCGCAAGAAGCGCAACACCACCGTGGCATCCAATTTGGCGGCCAGCGGTACGATCGTGGATGAGACCAAAGATGATTACAACAAACAACAAAAACAAAAACCACACTGTGATAATAGCTCTAGGAGCAAACATAACTCGGTACCCAATCCGCCCAGTCATCCCCATAATCAGCATCATCATCATCGTCATCAAAATAATCATCTTGTTGTGGATGTGGAGGAGGATGTGGATGCCACCAGCGGTAATGTGGACAACGGTGCGGTCAAGATGCGCCGCCATAGCCACGACAACCACTACGACAGAATCCCCCAGAGCAATGCAAGAACCATAACCAACACCCGCCCTAAAAATAAAGATGATCTTCGGGATCATCAGTCGCAGGACAACCACGAGGATATCGAGCAGGGAGCTGAACCGGAGCTGGGTGGAGAGCCGGATGCGGATGTCGATGTGGATAGCGATGAGAGTGGCGAGAACGTTAAGACTGCCAAATTGGCCAGAACACAGTCCTGCGTCAGTTGGACCAAAGTGGTGCAAAAGTTCAAAAATATTCTAGGTAAAATATCCTTTAAGGGTTTACATTTATATGGTATTTAACATTCTGTTAACTTGACATATGTTAAACAGTTTTCTATAAAATTAGTCGTACTCGAACACGATCATTTAAATATATAATCTGCTGATCATTATGCCGCTGAAATTTGGGCAATCAACTTCATCCATTCAAAAGTAATATGAGATTAGAGATTAATAATAGTAATAATAATTAATAAGCATTAACAACAGACTTTTTGCATGTATAATTTTGATGATCAGTTTCTGGAATAATACTAGAATTTGTTATATATATAATATAAGCAAGATAAGTGATCATTTATGGATAGCAGACCTTTTGCCTTTCTACATAATATTTTGATATTAAGTTGAGTGAAGGGTAAAAGTCTTTAAGTTAACGCTTAAATCGATATTTTTAGCCCTAACAAAAAGCCTTTTACCTTTCAGTCAACTATCTTAGAATCTTATCAGTGGTCTTAAACTGTGATTTCTAAATCGAATTTCCCTCTATTTTCTTCTATTTGTAGGTAAGTGTCGCTCGAATGGGAACACAAATTCCTCAAAACTCCCTGAGGGTTATCGTATCGGGTGAGATTGTTCTATGTACACACACACACACATATATATATATATGTATATATACATATATATAAACACACATAGATAAGTATTGTTATGGAAAATTTTCTGAGATTTAATGGAAAGTGATAAAGTTGTTGTCGTTCGTCGTTCTCGGGGGTGTAAAAGTGGTGAAAATTCTTGATTAGCCAAAGAAGAAGCTGACATGGAGAGTCTCTTAAAGTGAATTTTCTGGAAAATCATATGATATTTCCTATAAGAAAAGATGGGTCAATGAACGAATTGTTTTTGTCTGATAGCTTTGTCAAGCTTTTCCTTGGCTGCGATAAATAAGCAGAGAAATATCCACAGGCGGAAATGTCGAGGGACATGTATATATACGACTCTATATATATATTCTTATTCTCCCTTTTATTGCCTTATAAAATGTGATCTTGGCTTTATTGTGAAAAGCAGCCAGTCGACAGCCGATAAGGAAAAGCGGAATATTCTCGCTGCTCCCTCTTAGCTCTATAACAGGCCATATTTTTCTCAGTCGTTGTTGTTTCTCCCCGCCGGGTGATATGGGGAAAATCTGACGAGGAGGCGAATGAAACAGAGAGCAGGGCATGAGTGCTGATTCTGATTTCTTCATATGCTGATTTACATATTATACTTTATGACTGGCAAACTTTGGATTAAATATATATATATTCCTTAATACTGCGACTTATGATAGTACCAAGGCTTTACTAACTCAGTGCGCAGAAAGTGAGTGAGAGATTTTCAGCAGAAATCTAAAGTTAAATCATAAAACCAATAAATAAAACAGATTTATTGGTTCCAGTTTAAACTGCAACTACTAGTTTGGTAGGGAAGATGACCCATTTAAATGCCAAGCAAATGCCATTTGATAGTTTTGTTTTTTCCTAAAGTTAAACTATTATATCATTAAGTTATACTTGCAGTCTTGCAGTTTGTTCTAAGGTAACATTACGATTGGGTAACTGCAATGCAAATAGTTTAGATTTAGGTGTTAATCTCAGAGATATTAGTAATGTTAACTAGCTTGTCAGTTGCGTAATCTTAGGAATCTTAACTCGTCAGGCTTATCGAAGCGTTAACGTTGCGGTGCGAAAAGTCACAATCCCTTTATTACGATTGTACTCGTGTGGCAGTCACTGTGTCACAGCGTGCTTGCCACCTCATCTTGCCGCACCCCAGCTCTGTTCTCTGTTCTCAGTCTCTCCTGAGGTGCCTCAATTGCCATCCGGCAAGTCGTATAAGTGATTTGCAGCTTTAGCAGATGCTGACTGATAAGGAGAAGGTTGACGGAGCCTTATTAGCTGATGATTACGGGTACACAGGGAGAAATCTAATGGCCCAAAAGAGTTTCTTAGCTGTTAGTAATAAGAAATGCCTGATTTTTTCTCTCTGTGTACCGAGCTAAAGCTGCCTGCATGATCAGAGATCAGCAGTAAAAAGATCAAGAAGCACGCGGCTATATAGCTTACAGCTCTGATTATATATATATAGCCAGATGTTTGTATATATATATAGAGGGGGGAGGTTGGGTAGGAATTGGGGATTCGGGAGCAAAGATTACGCGCTGTTAGTGGTTGTTGTTGTTTTCGTTAACGCTCGACAATCACGCGCTCGTCTCATAAAACGGATGACAGGGCAAAAAAAGAAACTTTTCCAAAAATATCAAAGCCCAACAACAAGCATATATTGAGAAGCTTGTGAAATACTTATATGCCAGCAAATATATATATAGAGTATATATATATATGTTAACTAAATCTGTGACCAAATGGAGGCGTGTCCCTGTCATCTTGTTGATGTTTTTTTCCTGTGTTGTTTTTTTTACGGTTTTGCATTTGCCATGGCTGTCACTGCCCTCTCACCTCTCATTTCCTCCTCTACACCCTGGGCCTGCCTCACGTTTATGTTGTTTTCTTTCCCAATTTCTAAATATATACTTTTTCCCATTGATTTGGAAACTGAAATGATGGCAAACATACATACATAGAGATTAAGGTGAGTTAGCAACAGCTTAAGGAACGTGTTACAGAGATTAAGGCGAAGAAGAGAGTTCTCCCACAACCTGTTGATGCACCTTCTAACTTCGCTGCTCTTCGACGACTGCTGATTATTGAATAATCAATTAGTGCTTTTAATTATAATCAGTTCTTTATCTAACATCGAAAAGTGGGAGTGTATGCTAAACAGCTTTTAATCGAATAGTTAGTGGAATGTTTTTAGAATCCGATTAGAGCAAGACTGAAACTATTTATAAACTAAGATTGATAGCGATTAGGCAAGTGATTAGTTTAATTGTTGTTTTCCCTTACTTACAGCAATGGAAATGTTTAGTCTTTGCTCAGGTGTTTTCCATTGCCTGTGATCTGCTTTTATTTTACTTAGCTGTAGCTTATTTTGTATTTTGTTTTTTGTCAACTTGAATTCAATACTTGTTTGATTAGCTGAGATCAAAGAGAGCGATTTATCTATGGCAGATACAGATCTATCGGTTCTCTTTATCAAGCAGCTGGTGGTGCCCTCTCTCTCTCTTTATTGATTTCTCTCTTAGGCCAAATGAATGACTTTGGTTGTGTTTGTGTTTTTTACATTTTATTTTCCTTTTTTGCTTTTCGTTTTTTCTTTTTTATTTTCTTTGGCACTTTGCGGTCTTCTTAACGATTAAGTGAAAGAGAGGATAAAAAGACGAAAGAGATACAAATTCAGGCTGGCAGCTAAAAGTATGCAATGGAAAGCGAGTTACCTGAAGTGAATTCGCTGGGTCTTTCGGTCGGTCGTTGATAATGATGCAGGTGATAATGGCTGGTAGAATGATTGCTATAATGATGCCAAAATACTGCAGATTGTGGGGCATCTCGTGATCTCCGCCCGCGTGGTGTCATCATCTGGCCATCCCATTTCCTCTGCAACAATCAAACATCTCCGCTCTCTTTCCCCTCGAAGCGTGATCGACAGATTGGCTTTCACAGCCATTAAAAATAAAATCAATTCAATTTAAATCAAATATATATATATAAATATATATACTAGCAGACTTTGATTGCTTATAGTTTTTAATTGTCAGCAAAGGCAAGGTGAAGATTTAGCTGATTCTTCATATAGTCTATATATATATATATATATATAGTTTGCCCTTTAAAAGTTCCAGTCTTTGTTAGGTGATTCTAAAGATTTGCATTACCCTTAGAGGAATATTCTGAGTCTATTTTTACTACTTCTAACTGCAAAGGCCATGAATATTAAGCAGACCTTCGGTATCCGTTTACCCCTTTTCAAAAGGGGGGTTAAAAAGGAGGCATGGATATAATTTATTTGCGGTTTTTCCGTGGCTTGGATAGGCGTGGTCTTGTTTAGTTTTAGCCAAAACAGTTTTGTTAATTCGTTTTTGGCACGATGTGAGGATGGCTTGTGGTAAAATGAGACGATGACTCCATGGACGAACACAGATAGCCAGTGAAAAGTGGATGTAGTGGGTGGAGTTTCGGTTCGTTGGGTAGATCCCGATGATTGTTTGGTAACGGTTTCTATTTTCTTTTATTGCTCTATTCGTCTGCCAGCCGCCCCCCCCGCGCTTAACTTAGTACTGCGTCACAGCATTTTGCATGCCACATCACCCAGAGACCGCCCACCAACCACCACCCACGCCCCCTTTTTGCGGCTGAGTGGTGCCAAATGCTTGTATATCGATTAGTTTCCGTCGACGTTGGCGGCACAACAAATTGCTTTGCCTTTTAGACAGCTCCAACTGTTCCACCATCAGGGCCCCCTCTTCCCCCCTCCTTTTGATATAGTTTTCCCTATGTTTGGTTAGGGGGAGTGTAGAGGCATGTTGCTTACCTACCTATTGATAATTTGATTGATTTAGTCGCGCAAATCGCTGAAATTGTCGGCAGTCCTGTGAAAACTCAATTGATTAATGTGAGAACGGCGGCAGAGGTGACCGAAAATAAGAACGATGTATAATTTATGAATCGATCAAATCGATAAATTGAAAGGCGACATCGATAAAGGAAGGGAACTTTAATAAAGAAGAAGAAATGTGGGAAAAAAGCAGATTATCAATCGAAAGTTAAGGAACTTCCCTGCTTAAATTAATCCTATCGATAAGTTTTCGATTCTTTCGATTAATTTATCAGATAATAAGTGCAAATGGTAAAGGAAGATGACATAAACGAACCTACTAAGCGAAATTAGTACACGCCTTGACTGATCTTATCTCTGCCCTCTGCTGGCAGTTGCAATGTGAAACAATGTCAATGTCAGAGGGGGTTTTCATTTTCATTTTCATTTGCATTTTCATTTGTGATGATTTCTAATGATTCATTAAAATAAAATATACATTTGATTTGATTCGCATGTGCTGCGTATATCCTTTGATTGGTCTTCTCCGTCGTATTCTTCGGCTGATTCTTCTACCGTTTCTTCTTTCTTCGCTTACCTTCTTCTGTGCCGTCGCATTGAACTGTCAGTTGTCTGTCGTCGTAGAAGAAGGCAGGGGCCATAAGGGGGCGTGGCTGGCTGGCTGGCTGTTGCATGCCTGACCACGCTTGGCTGCCACTGTCTTTCTTCTGTCTTGTGGGTCTTCTGTCTTTCAGTCTCTCTCTCTTCCTCTTTGGCCTTATCGCAATTTTCCTGCAATTAAAAATTTCCCTCAAAATCGCAACAAATTGTTCATGATAATTATGATGAAGAAAATTTGTGGGCTTTTTATTTCTTAAAGCGCGTTTTAAGCGATCGAAGAATTTGTGGTTTCTGCAGGCTGCTTCAGTGTGTGTGCTGAGTGTGTAGATCGAACGAATGTGCAACCGATCGCCCTTCGTGTGGCATTCGTTGGCGATCGCTGTGTCGTCTCTCAGCCGCCATTCGTGTTGTCCTCAGCTTTTTCCATTCTTTGATCGCCAATTGTGCAACGGTAGCTCGAGCGATCGGATCGTCAGATCGAAAGCGGAACGGAACGCGGAACGTATCGATCGGGGCAGTACCTACCACCACCCACCGCTCTTTCTCCTCAATAAGAAACACATTCGAATATTCGAAGATCGTACTATTTCGGTTCTTTATTTTTTTTTTTTATTCTTTTCTGTGATATTTGATTTTGTTGCTGCTGCTGTTGTTGCCGCTGCTATAGTTGTTGTTGTTATTGTTGTTGTTGTTGTCTCGGTGGTGCCGCGTGTTTGCATTTTTTTGCTATTTGAAGATCGATCGATCGATTGATCTGCCCGCAAAGCGAACGAAACGTCAAGTGACCGAAAATAAAACTAGGCCAAAGCCTGCCACCGTACACAGAGAGAAAAAAGCATTTGAAGTTTGTACAAAAGGAAAATGCATATTAAGAGGCCTATTTTTGAAGTTTTAAATGCTGAAAAAGTTGGTTTGAAAACTTGAACTTAAAGAAGCTTCTTAGGTTGATTAACAAAAAGTAATCTTCTTTAGAGAACTTAACTTAACTAACTAAACTTGCATAACAAATATTTAATATATGCAAGAAATACGGGTTAAAATATGGTTTTAGCAAATTTTATGATTAATAGTTGCCTTAAAAAGACTTAACATAAAAAAAGATTCCTCTTAAAATATAAAAATAATAATCTAAAAAGGGAAAAATGTAACTTTCATAACCCAAACCTTAAGAAGGTTGGATAATTTCTGGTATTATTCTTTCTAAAGTTCAACTTTTCGAGCCTTCGATTTGGCTTGTCCACTGATATCTATAATTTATAACAAATATATATTCTGCATTCGAAAAAAGATTTCAAAAATAGGTCAAACACACTTTAAATGTCTTTTTCGGGATTATTTTTTATCAAAAATATATTTTTCGGTGTGTAAGGAACCACATACATCACCACTAACCGTTTCGGTGGTTCAGAAGTTCAGTGGATCAGTGGAACAGCGGATCACTTGGTGCTTACTAAGCCATCCGGCCAAGGTGGATAAGTCACAGGTGGTGCCCGTGGCGGTGCCGCGTGGTTTCCGTAAAGTAGTCAGAGTAGTCCGCAAAAAGAAGCGCACGCCCGGGAGTGGATCAGTGAACGAGGCCAGTGAGTCCGATGGTGCTGGCTCTGGCACCACAACCTCCCTGAGGCAGAATTCCACAGATGCCAGCAGACCGCCGGCCAAGGTCATCAAGAATAAAAGGGGTTCCTTTGGCGGTGGTGGTGTTGGTGCAGCACCACCACCCATCCCCTTGTCTGCGAAAAGAAAGAACAAACGTCAGTCCTCTAGCGAGGAGAATAGCAGCAATGAGAGTCCCACCGAATCTGAGCCCGAATCCGGATCGGGTAGCTCCTCCTCCTCCAGTGCTGACAGTGAGTCGGAATCGGATAGCGGTAGTTCCTCCAGCAGTAGTTCCTCGACCACCGAATCCTCTTCCAATGCTGATCGCAAGTCGAAGGCCAATGGCAAGCACAAACCCCTTTCGGCGGCCGCCAAGGCTGCCCAATCTGCCTGCTCGTCGTCCCTGGTGGTGGCCGCCGCTCTCAAGAAGACCAAACCCCCTAACCGGAGTGGCAGTGGTGCCAGCATTGCCAGTGCAGGTGGCGGTGGAGCCAAGCAGTACAAGGATCCAAGTACAGAGATAGAAATTCCATGTCCAAAATCCTTAAGTGTTCTGTCCAATTGTATGAGAAAGTCCCTCTGGGAAGGAGACAGCCGAATCTTCTAGAGAGACTCCACATTGTTTAGGCAGCTAAGATAGAAGGTGGAAGAAGCTGTAGTTCTTAGACATCAGTTTGGAGTTTAGGTTTCGAAGCTATAGATACAGATTATTTGTATAATCACAAAAACTAACTAAACCCTTAAATTTTTGTGTGGCCATCAAAAGGTGCACCACCCTAATGCGAGAGGCAGTAGCAGCTGCCCCATCATCATCGGCATCTTTGGCGCCAATGCCAAAATTAATTAGCAACGAAAATGTGAAATCTAAAAGGGGGAAAATCAGAATCATCATAATGAAGCTTTTCGTTCATCATTCTAAGACACCTTTCTTATGCCAATTACAATCCAAATACGATTTTTACTATATGATAACCAAGGATATTGGAACTATAAGTTAAAGGTGTGACATTTTGATTATTTTCCTTTGATTTTCTTCTTCAAACTTTATCTATCTATCTCTGAAAGTGGAAAACTAATGTGGAGTTTCTTGGTGGCCAACAACTTTCCTTTCTCTGTCTTTTGAACTCCAAACTGTGAATCCTTCCTTCCTGTTCCTCTTGTTTTTGTGCTTTTCCCTTCGAACTGATTACTGATCACTGATCACTGAGTGATCCCCTGATTGATTGATATATCTTGTGTGATTCATGCGCAGGCATGAAACAACTGATCGGCAAGCTGAACGACCTGTGGCCCGAGCACAGCGTTGCACTGTCCATTCCAAAGGAGGTCGATAGGAGCAAGGAGAAGCTGGAGGGCGCCTGGGAGACCACAGGTGTATAAACTATATCTATTCTTAACTATATATATATATAAATGTGTGTGTGTGCATAGAATAGAAGTTGGGGATTTCTGCTCTTTAAACTTTCGACTAATGTTATAACCATTAACCCTCCATCTTGATACAGGTCGCGATGGTTCTAAAATTACAACAGTTGTTGCAACACCCGGCCAAGGCACCGATCGCGTACAAGAGGTCTCCTATACAGACACAAAGGTCATCGGCAATGGCAGCTTCGGCGTCGTGTTCCAGGCAAAGCTCTGCGACACCGGCGAGTTGGTGGCAATCAAAAAAGTTTTACAAGACAGACGATTTAAGGTAAGCCTTCTGAGATATTAATCTTAAAATATCTTCTATAATCTATCTTTATGTTCTTTGCAGAATCGCGAATTGCAAATTATGCGCAAATTGGAGCATTGTAATATTGTAAAGCTTTTGTACTTTTTCTATTCGAGTGGAGAAAAGGTAAGTTTAAGGATCTGAAATGATCTGTTAGGTGATCAGAACTAGCGCCCTTCTTAGAGGGGGAGATGAACTCCTGAAGTTGCCAGCATCGGTGATTACTTAGTACGGCGGAGTAGGAAGATGGTTTTTTGGTAACTTTTCTTAAAGAAATCAGAATTTGGATTTCCTTTCTCCTCAAACTCAATCAAACCGTACTAAGTACTTACTCGAACCTGATGTGAGCTTTTAACCGCTGAGAATTTCTTGACAGGTTTATTGATTAAGCAAATACGGAATTTGAAATGAATCTCTTTCACTTGCATATTGATACTGATACCGAAACCTGATCTGAATCCGAATACGAATCCAAATCGGTCACTAGCTGGCCGAGTTCCCCATCGATTTGGGGATATTTGCGAGTGTACTCAAGCCCCAGGTATCCCAAGAACTAAAACAGTTTTCAAAGTTTTTTCCTCCAGCTCAGATCATCTAGCGACTTGCTCTTCTCACTCGCTCTTCTCTATCTCTCATATATATTATATATAATATGTCTCCTTTGCTACGTATGAAAGAAAAGTACAGTGGAACGTACTCTACCGCATGGTATCAACACTCTCCTGTCAATCGATTCCTGCTGCTAGTTTGCTAGTTTTGCTAGTTTCAGTTTGATGTCGCCGACTACTGTACTATTCCGGTAAAACCAACGCATGTTGACAGCTCGCAACTTCATCGGTCAGCTCTCCCCCCTCCCCACAAAACCCAGATTCCTAACCCCCATACATAGATCATCGATCGAGCTTTTTAATCCCTAATAATAGTCATATATTAACTGAACTATCTCTTTGATCCTGCAGCGTGATGAAGTATTTTTGAATTTAGTCCTCGAATATATACCAGAAACCGTATACAAAGTGGCTCGCCAATATGCCAAAACCAAGCAAACGATACCAATCAACTTTATACGGGTGAGTATTACTAGTACTTAGTGGCTAAGTAACCAGACTAATTTATACTCTTTCTAGCTCTACATGTATCAACTGTTTAGAAGTTTGGCCTACATCCACTCGCTGGGAATCTGCCATCGTGATATCAAGCCGCAGAACCTTCTGCTCGATCCGGAGACCGCTGTGCTGAAGCTCTGTGACTTCGGCAGCGCCAAACAGCTGCTCCATGGCGAGCCGAATGTCTCGTATATCTGCTCCCGGTATTACCGCGCCCCCGAGCTCATTTTCGGCGCCATCAATTATACAACAAAGATCGGTTAGTAGCTTAACTTACTTTTCTATATTATGGTTAATCTATAACTCTATTTCCTTCTCCCTTAGATGTCTGGAGTGCCGGTTGCGTTTTGGCCGAGCTGCTGCTGGGTCAGCCCATCTTCCCTGGAGACTCCGGTGTCGATCAGCTCGTGGAGGTCATCAAAGTTCTGGGCACACCGACAAGAGAACAGATACGCGAAATGAATCCAAACTATACGGAATTCAAGTTCCCACAAATTAAGAGTCATCCATGGCAGAAAGTAAGTGATCAGTTTGGCTGATGGTTAGCCAGAATATTGGATTTGACCTTCGCGCTTTTCGCTCATGTGGCTTTCAGTCTTCACTCTCTGCCCTCCGCTCTCCGCCAGGGAAACTCCATTGCCAACCGCCCCCCCACCAACTTTGTTAATTTTCCAAAAGTGTTTCTAACCGAAAATTGTGTGTACATAAAAACTCGTTGCAGTCACTACTCGAACGCACCCAATTTCCAAACGCCCTAAACCAGAAACAACGACTGAGAGTAAGCCAAGAAACGAATTCAAGCGGAAAAGATACAAAATTTGCTCAACGAAAGCCATAATGCTATATGCTATATACTATATATATATATATACTAACTAATCCCAGGGGTCTTTCGATAGTTAGTTCAACTATCTAAGTTAATCGCTTTCTAAGCTGTTACTCATTTCATTCAGGGACTCTTTGTAGGGTTAGCTACTTAAAGGGTATATCTCATACAGCAGACAGCCGCCCTAATCAATCCGCTTATCATGCTGAAAAGTTGATCTAAGGCTTAGTTAGTCAGCTTTCCATATTCATATACTATATATTCATGCCGATTTATTGGTTTTGGATGTGATTTGGAGTTGAATTGAATTGATTGTTTTGGTTTCTTGCCCTGCCTACTGCCAACACGTTTCTCTTTTGATCCTTAAAATATAAGTCTATATAAGGTTCTGTTAGGCAATATCCAAGGATAACCCTAACAGGACCTTCCAATCTGTAAATACGAACGCGCTTCTCCGTGTCCTGACGTTTGCCTTGTTACTGCCCCGCCCTTCTCGCCCTTTGATCTGTGCCCCGCCCAGTTGTTGTGTCCCGCAAGAAGCTCCGCTCGAAAGAAAACTTAACTATGAGTAAAAATAACACCTAGTAACCGGTTACTCCCACCCCTCGCAGGTTTTCCGTATACGCACTCCTACAGAAGCTATCAACTTGGTGTCCCTGCTGCTCGAGTACACGCCCAGTGCCCGGATCACACCGCTCAAGGCCTGTGCACATCCGTTCTTCGATGAGCTGCGCATGGAGGGCAACCACACCTTGCCCAACGGTCGCGAGATGCCGCCGCTGTTCAACTTCACAGAGCACGGTAAGTGATTGGATCTTCTGGATCTTTCTAACCATGAACTAATCCCCCGTTAATGCCGCCCACAGAGCTCTCGATACAGCCCAGCCTAGTGCCACAGTTGTTGCCCAAGCATCTGCAAAATGCAACCGGAACTGGCGCCAATCGGTCATCTGGCGGCGGAGCAGCCTCCGCTGCGGCCAGCAGCGTCTCGTCAACGGGCAGTGGCACATCGGCGGAAGGAACCGCCCAGCCACAGTCGCAAGGCACAGCAGCAGCAGCAGCTGCGGGACCCGGATCAGGCGGTGCAGCAGCAGGAGCCGGCGGAGCGAGTGCCGGTGGACCCGGATCTGGTAACAACAGCAGCAGCGGCGGCGGAGCATCGGGAGCGCCGTCTGCCGTGGCAGCTGGTGCCAATGCCGCTGTCACTGGCAGCGGTGGTGGTGGCGGTGTCGGTGCGGCGACCGCAGCTGCCACAGCAGCTGGCGCCATGGCCGCGACCAATGCCGGCGGCGCCAATGTAACAGGTGAGTAAGCGGTTGGCCAGCCAGCGCATCCTGCCCCTAGCCCGCCTTCAGCTCCTTTTCCTCCTCATTCCCTCCGCTTATTTATCATCCAATTAATCACAACCATCAATCAACAGCCATATAGCAAAAAGCTGGCCAATATCGTATCGTAATGAACTTCGTTTTAAGACCGAATTACGATAGGGATTGGTGATCTGCTTGCTATATGGACTCCCAGAGCACATCCATCATCCTTCATCCATCATCCTAACCCCCTTAGCTGGTGTCAATCTCGTGCTGAGGCCGCACCGCAGGTTGCGGCTGTTGGGGAAACCTTACCTGCGCAATCCGGCCAACGTATGAACTCCATCGACACTCCATCGAGCATCATTCCTTGATCCATCCATTGAGTCCATCAAGCACCAAGCTACTCCTTCTAAATCAAGTCAACCCAAGGGAGATAGCTAGAGACCCGTAGAAAGGGAGAGAAGCAGAAAGTTATGGGCATCAAGAATCAAAAGTGAAGAATCAAGAATCAAGAATCAAGAATGAAGAATCAAGAATGCAGAATCAAGAATCAAGAGTAGAGTATTATGAATGAAAAGTCACCAGCTGAGGAGGAGAAGAATTCAAGAAGGAGACCTTCTCAAAAACAAATTCTCGTTGTGGTTATATATTATTTGGACATATTTGGTAGTTATTTCGGTTAAATAACAAGCTCAGTTATTTCTGAAGTTGCAATAAAAAAAAGTCAAGTAAATCAACTTACTAATATCATTTCAAAGGTTTAAAAGGTATGTCTTAAGACGATCTGTCAAGTCGATGAGAAGGTCACGGATATAAGAATGGGTCACTCTAATGTTATCTTCCTCAGGGTTGGTCCCTCTATTCCCCTCCTAAAAGGTGCCTGCAACTGTTTAGTTACATAAATTAAAGTCAAAATGGGTTGATACTGCCTCACCGGCTATGGCTTTTTTGATATATATTTTCATTAAAATTAATCGGTTTTAATCGTAATCGTAATCGTTTTCATAAATCCATTTTAGTTTTCATTTCATTTTGTTATTTTTAGTCGGCTAAGATTTAATTTTGATTTCGTTTTGATTTGTTTTTATTTTTTATTTACAGATTCATAGGGGCAATAGTAACATAAAAATACACACACACACACACACTTATATATCCACGTATATATATAGCAATAAATATATATATATATAAAACAAAACTACAACAACAACAACAACCAAGCATATATAATATTTATAAACAAAAACGGAGAATGCAACAACAGCAAACTAAAACAGCAACAAGAACAGCAACAACAACCTATATACACAATAATTATTAAATTTATTAAATTTAATTAATGCAATTGATGGAAAATACGAAAGAAGAGCAGAAGAAGCAGAAGAATGTCAGCCAAAAAAGAAAGCGCTGAATATAGAGGGAAGCAAAAAGCGAAAAGCAAAAAGCAAAAAGCAAAAAAAGCAAAAAAGCAAAAAGCGAAAAGCAAAAATATAACAAAAAAGCAAAAACATTTTACTTAGGTAAAAAATTAAATTTATTTTAAATCTAAAATAAAACTAATAAGCATATAATAATAATAATAATAAACAATAATGGTAAATAAAAAACACAATAATTATAATAGTAAAGCGCTGATCGATTGTCATTTTGTCGCCGCCCCCTGTGCGTGTGGCATTTTAATTCTATATCATTTAATTAATATAATTACTCTCTCCTTCCTCTATACCACTCCCCTTTCCGCCCTCACACTCTCTTCGTTAAATATGATAAAATATTATTTTTTGACGCCTAAAGAATTAACTATGTATATGTATATTGAACAGTCATTGCATATTTTTTATACCACCTTGTTTTAGTATGTTTAATTGATAAGGAGCCAGGAAAAAAAAAGAAGAAGAAACAAAAACAAAATTATATATATAAATAATCCAATGGAAATCGAGTTTTGTGTAGTAAAAGTTAAGATCCAAACAAAAGTAGACACTCTAATGACTTTTGACTAAAACTAACTAAAGCAAAAGCAACACGACCTTAAACAAAAAAAAAAAAAAAAAAAAGAAACAAAAAACGAGGAGATGAACATGATCATCATGATCACGATCACTATTACGATCAGGATCAGGATGAAGAGGAGGAGAAGAATAAGAGAAACAAAAACAAAGCCCCGAGCATAATGTTAATGTTATGTTAAACCTTAATTTAATGCAAATGATTAACGCAAAAAAAAGAAAAAACAAAAAAAAAAAGAAACAAAAAAGCAACAAACAAACAAACAAAAAGCGAAACTGTTTAAACATAAATAATATATAATCTTTATGAATATAAAAACCATTTTTTTTTTTCAACACGCATTATGTATACATACATATTAAATAAATAAATTATTTTTATTAAATAATTATTATTATTTTGTAATAAATAAACAAAAAGCAAACAATCGATTGACAACAAAAGCAACAGCAAGAAACAGAACAACCAGAGCAGAGCCCCTCGATGATCGTATATATATTTTTTTTTCGCCCTTAAAATATATATGTACAGTTATCTAAATGTATGTATTATTATTTAGCCAGTAGTCAAGAAAGAGAGAGAAAGAACGCGCGAGATGGATGAGAGATGAGAACAGAAACAGAAACAGAAACTGAAACTGAAAACAGAAACATAAACTGAGAACAGAAAGTGAGAACAGAGAACAGAGAACAGTTACAGTACAGTACAGTACAGTTACTGAGAACAGAAAGGCATGGAAGCCGGCATCTGAGAACAGAAAGGCTTAGTTGCAATATGTAGATAAGGTCCATTTATCGGGTTTCCGTAACTGTAGAGCTGCACCGTTAGTTGCTTGCATAGTCAGTGTCGCCTTGCCTCGCCCCCTTTATCCCTCCCTCACCCCTCTTTACCCCTTATTCCTCTTTTCATACAGAGCTGCTATTAAATATTATTATTTTTTTTTTGTTTTATTTCGCATGGAATGGCAGAAATGTAAAAAAAATCTATAAAAATTTATAAAAAATAAGAGGAAAGAATTGCCTAAGCGGGATAAGAAGAATAAGAGAAAAAACGTAAAAAACGACAAAAGAAAAAAAGAAAAAAAAGCAAAAAGAAAAAAGAAAAAATGAGCAAAACACTTATATTTATTTCTATAGTTTATTATAATCGATCTTAAATTAATTATTATGCTAATTATAAACGATTAATGGATACATACACACCCACACACACACACGCAGAATAAAATACATTTTCCTAGTAATTTAGGCACATACACACACACATACAAGAACATAACAACAACAAGAAAAAAACATCTAAAAAATAAATAAAAAGAAAAACAAATTAAACAGATTATTTTATTTTGAAATTTGCTAATTACACACACACACACACACACACGACACGCATACTCTGACAATTGTATATGTAATGCTGTAATAATCATGATAATATATAGATTCGTTGATGATAATGAGCAAGAAGCCGCAATGATAATGATAATAAATGAATACGACAAAATCCAACAAATAAAAAGAGAAACAAATACAATATTTAAACGAAATGAAAACCTTTTACTGTTGCCTTTCCTTTTTACTACTACAACAACCATTATCTATATGCTATATAATTTTGTTCAATGTGAAGTTTTCTTTTCTTTTTCTATTTTAGTTTTGCCTTTTTTTGGGTTTTATCTTGATTTTCTCTAAGGATTCTCTCTTTTGGGTTTGGGTTGCTGGAAAAGGGTGCTAGTTAGAGATGATCTTTGGGCTTAAATTGAATATATTTTTATGGAAATCAATCACCACTCCTCACTCATTTTGAACTCTGATCAATTTTGACATTTTGTTTATTTTGACAAAAAATGTTTTTGGTTTAAACTGGAAGCTAGATTTCCTTTATTTGCTTTAAAAAAATATTCAAAATCTGCAGTTTTTTTTTTCTTGCAAATGCAAACTTGTTTTAAGGTCAGAAAACTGGAAAAGCTGCCTGTCCGAAAGTTTTGTTGTTGATTTTTACAAGTCCATTCCAAAGTCTTTTGGTGTGGGTCTCCTAGGGGCATACATTCCCCCATAACACAGCCATTGAACAAGAATAGCAATCCATATTTGTATCTCTTTCTCTTTTTGGCCGACGTCTTGTAGGCTCGCAGTCGAACAGCGCCCTGAACAGCAGCGGAAGCGGCGGCAGCGGTAGCGGCAATGGAGAGGCGGCTGGATCCGGATCCGGATCGGGATCAGGAGCAGGAGCAGGAGGCGGCAATGGCGGGGATAACGATGCTGGCGAGAGTGGAGCAGCAGCAGGTGGAGGAGGAGCAACAGAGACCGAGGCACCGGCGTCGGGTTAGCGCGAGTGAGGTGCTCTTTTAATGTAATGTTATTCGAAGGATTACCGCTCGGCCCGGGAATACAGTTGACCATTTTTGGCCAAGAGCGAGATGGCAACATCAACCGAAACACTCATACACTCACACACACAAAGACAGTTACACTCGGAGAAAGAGAGAGTAGAAAGAAATCCACGCAGAAGCTAAGGAAAATGATAGGCAAAGGAATTCACTTCACTTCAAACACCAACCCAAGACATTATAAACCGCCACTAGAACACACACAACCACACCACACCCCCACACTCCCACACACACACACACACACACAGTCACACACATGTATGTATGTATATCTAGCTATATGCATCGGGCGCAAGAAAATATTTAGCATAAAACTCGAAAGAAAAACAAAAAAATCCACTTTAAACTATGCATAAATAATTTAAAATGATAATCTGTATTATTGAAAGAGAAAAGCCCAGAGAAATAATCGAAAGACCCCTCGCCCGTGCGCCCCGCCCTCCAAAATAGTAAATAATATTTAACAAATAGCTCGCGAAACGTAATAAAAGTTAAGTAAAAAGAAAACAAAAGAAACAAACACAACAAAGCCGAGAGAATACTTAGTGAAATAAATCAAAATTTTTGCCCCATTTAACGTTTATATATATGCGGTTATACAAATATATAACGATCACAGCAGTTAGCAATCCATAGTGAAAGTAATAAAGGTAAAAGTAAAGATAAAACATAAATAAAATACAAATAAAAGGCGGCAGAGTGAGGAGAACTAGCTAAAGGGAGGATGAAACATTTACTAAACTCGCGCAAGCGCATCTATATAAATACGATATAGATATTATATAAACATAGATATATATATATATATACAAATATATATATATGCGAGATATTAACAATACATTCGTAATCCTAGTAGCAACGCCCCCAACCCAAGGAAGCCCATGAAATTGCCCAGGTTAACGAGAAACGATTCACGTATAGCAAGATTTTCCGTGGCCTGTTCTTAAGTAAAGTAAAAAAAAAAAGTATAGCAACTACGATTATCTAAGGAAGCGGTCGTCAAAATGCAATATACACTAACACTAAACACTATACATAAATACAAGAGGATATAAATAAATTGAGCAAAAAGTAAAATGGTAAAAATGGTAAAAAAGTAAACAAGTAAAAACGGTTAAAAAGTAAATGAATGTATGAATGAGTAAAACGCTTTTAGCGCGCGACGCCACCCATTAACTTAAATTAACATTGCAAATAAAGGTAATGAGGTAAAATGGTAAAAAGGTATAATGGTAAAAAATGTTTAAATGAGATAGTGAAGCCAGGATCTTAATATATATATATATATATATGTAAAAGTAATCGACAAAGAACATTTAGCTGCAATTGAAAACTTAAACTAATTTAATACAAATTGAATTAAAATACAATGAGACCCGACGATGGTTCTAGAATGTAAGGCCTTAGATGATCGATCAACCGGTAACTCCTGCGCGACTATAGTACTAGCCCTCGGTTCGATTGGTTTGCAACCACTTAGTATCTCTCTATGCCTCTCTATCCCAGTGGAAAGCCACCACCCAGTTAAACTGCTTAGATCTCGTTTTGGAAATTTGCCATGATTATGTCCAGCACTAAGATGAAGACCATTGAAAGGAGAAAAAGGAAAAACCTAAAACTAAAAGAAAGTCTATTTGTATGTATTTCCATAGAACTCCTTATATGTTATATGAGAACATATTTTTTTTTTACTAACTAAATGATACATTTATACAATTAATGAACGTTGAGTTTTGTGGCATCAAAACTACTTAAATATAAATATATACATATATGTATGTACACACCCACACAAGGACACACACAAACATTCAGACACACTCACACGCACATAATTCTATAATTTCAAATAAATTTACAAAAACAAAGAAACCCGAAGATTTCCAAACAAGATTCTCCAAACATTTTAGTAAATAATCTAAGTAAACAGCAGACAAGTTACATAAATCTAAAAAGAAAAAACCAAAACAAAAAGAACACCCACATTCACACACACACACACGCCGTTTAATTTGTAATTTAAAATGTCAACAGAAGAAGAAGAACAAAATATATACACACATATATATGCATAGAAAAACATACTTATATATGATGAACAACTTCAGCGTTTCGCTTTAATTATGAGGCAACAACCACATGAGAATCCAAACCAAACTTAAACTTAATTAACAAATAAACGCAAACCTAAACTAATTGCAAAATAACAAATGGCAAAACCAAATTCAAAAAGGAAATGATAAAGAAAATGAAAATGAAACTGAAACACAAGACAAATGCGTAAAGAAAACATTAATTTAAAAACAATAAAAATTACAAACAAAATATATTTATACAAATGCCTATTTTAATGTGCTTGGCGGTTACGGTATATATTCTTTCTGGGAACCAATCCAAACTAAACCAACTAACTAACTAACGCTAAGGAAACAGCATATTTGTTTTGTGAGTTTAACCTAAAAATCAGGACTATCACTTTGGACTTGACTTTGGTAATACTTCTAAATTGTATATTATATTTTATCAAAATTCCGAATTTTTGTTAAGGCATTCTTTTGGCAGCGGAGATTCCGATTTCCTTGCCGTTTCCTAGCTCTAACTTTGTCAAAACAAGCCAAATGTCATAACCATCGACTGTTTTATGCATCTAAGAACCGAAACTTGAACTTGAAACCCCTATACTCACTTTTATCATTATTGTTCTGATTCTCTTGGTGCGAGCTGCGATTTAATGGCTAAAAAGTCGAAAAACCCATTTCTACAGAAATTTGGAATATTTTTTCCGGCTTTTTAGCTCTAGCTCGGTCAAAACAAGACGCACAGCCAAAAGAATGACTGTTTTGTGTTGCTAACGACCAATACTAACCACCCCTATCACTCGATTTTCTATTTTGGGAATATAAATTTTGACCCAAATTTCGCATTTTTGGTAAGGGGTACCATCATCAAAATTTTCAATAAATGGCCAAAAATTAAGTTTCCCAGATTTGAATGCAAACCAATTGGGAATCATAGCAATCAAGTTACGAGCCCTACGAGGTATTACATTCCTCATTTGGACCATTTTTGGCTGTGTTATGCCAAAAAAACTGATTTTTTGGTGCTCAAAATCACGTAAAGGTCTTTTGGCAGCAAAGATTTCGGCTTCCTTGCCGTTTCTTAGCTCTATTTTTGTCAAAACAAGCCGCATGTCTTAACCAATGACTTTTTTATGCAGCTAAGAACCGAAACTTGAAACCCCTATACTCACTTTTATCATTATTGTTCTGATTCTCTTGGTGCGAGCTGCGATTTAATGGCTAAAAAGTCGAAAAACCCATTTCTACAGAAATTTGGAATATTTTTTCCGGCTTTTTAGCTCTAGCTCGGTCAAAACAAGACGCACAGCCAAAAGAATGACTGTTTTGTGTTGCTAACGACCAATACTAACCACCCCTATCACTCGATTTTCGATTTTGGGAAAATAAATTTTGACCCAAATTTCGCATTTTTGGTAAGGGGTACCATCATCAAAATTTTCAATAAATGGCCAAAAATTAAGTTTCCCAGATTTGAATGCAAACCAATTGGGAATCATAGCAATCAAGTTACGAGCCCTACGAGGTATTACATTCCTCATTTGGACCATTTTTGGCTGTGTTATGCCAAAAAAACTGATTTTTTGGTGCTCAAAATCACGTAAAGGTCTTTTGGCAGCAAAGATTTCGGCTTCCTTGCCGTTTCTTAGCTCTATTTTTGTCAAAACAAGCCGCATGTCTTAACCAATGACTTTTTTATGCAGCTAAGAACCGAAACTTGAAACCCCTATACTCACTTTTATCATTATTGTTCTGATTCTCTTGGTGCGAGCTGCGATTTAATGGCTAAAAAATCGATAAAACCATTTCTACAGAAATTTGGAATATTTTTTCCGGCTTTTTAGCTCTAGCTCGGTCAAAACAAGACGCACAGCCAAAAGAATGACTGATTTATGCAGCTAAGAACCGAAACTTGAAACCCCTATACTCACTTTTATCATTATTGTTCTGATTCTCTTGGTGCGAGCTGCGATTTAATGGCTAAAAAGTCGAAAAACCCATTTCTACAGAAATTTGGAATATTTTTTCCGGCTTTTTAGCTCTAGCTCGGTCAAAACAAGACGCACAGCCAAAAGAATGACTGATTTATGCAGCTAGGAACCGAAACTTGAAACCCCTATACTCACTTTTATCATTATTGTTCTGATTCTCTTGGTGCGAGCTGCGACTTAACGGCTAAAAAATCGAAAAACCCATTTCTACAGAAATTCGGAATATTTTTTCCGGCTTTTTAGCTCTAGCTCGGTCAAAACAAGACGCACAGCCGAAAGAATGACTGTTTTGTGCTGCTAACGACCAATACTAACCACCCCTATCACTCGTTTTTCGATTTTGGGAAAATAAATTTTGACCCAAATTTCGCATTTTTGGTAAGGGGTACCATCATCAAAATTTTCAAAAAATGGCCAAAAATTAAGTTTCCCAGATTTGAATGCAAACCAATTGGGAATCATAGCAATCAAGTTACGAGCCCTACGAGGTATTACATTCCTCATTTGGACCATTTTTAGCTGTGTTATGCCAAAAAGACTGATTTTTTGGTGCTCAAAATCACGTAAAGCAAAGATTCCGGTTTCCTTGCCGTTTCTTAGCTCTAACTTTGTCAAAACAAGCCGCATGTCTTAACCAATGACTGATTTATGCAGCTAGGAACCGAAACTTGAAACCCCTATACTCACTTTTTTCATTATTGTTCTGATTCTCTTGGTGCGAGCTGCGATTTAATGGCTAAAAAATCGAAAAAACCATTTCTACAGAAATTTGGAATATTTTTTCCGGCTTTTTAGCTCTAGCTCGGTCAAAACAAGACGCACAGCCAAAAGAATGACTGATTTATGCAGCTAAGAACCGAAACTTGAAACCCCTATACTCACTTTTATCATTATTGTTCTGATTCTCTTGGTGCGAGCTGCGATTTAATGGCTAAAAAATCGAAAAAAACCATTTCTACAGAAATTTGGAATATTTTTTCCGGCTTTTTAGCTCTAGCTCGGTCAAAACAAGACGCACAGCCAAAAGAATGACTGATTTATGCAGCTAGGAACCGAAACTTGAAACCCCTATACTCACTTTTATCATTATTGTTCTGATTCTCTTGGTGCGAGCTGCGATTTAATGGCTAAAAAGTCGAAAAACCCATTTCTACAGAAATTTGGAATATTTTTTCCGGCTTTTTAGCTCTAGCTCGGTCAAAACAAGACGCACAGCCGAAAGAATGACTGTTTTGTGCTACTAACGACCAGCAGTTTCCACCCCTATCACTCGATTTTCGATTTTGAGAAAATAAATTTTGACCCAAAGTTCGCATTTTTGGTAAGGGGTACCATCATCAAAATTTTCAAAAAAATGGCCAAAAATTAAGTTTTCCAGATTTGAATGCATACCAATTGGGAATCATAGCAATCAAGTTACGAGCCCTACGAGGTATTACATTCCTCATTTGGACCATTTTTGGCTGTGTTATGCCAAAAAAACTGATTTTTTGGTGCTCAAAATCACGTAAAGGTCTTTTGGCAGCAAAGATTCCGGTTTCCTTGCCGTTTCTTAGCTCTATTTTTGTCAAAACAAGCCGCATGTCTTAACCAATGACTGTTTTATGCAGCTAAGAACCGAAACTTGAAACCCCTATACTCACTTTTATCATTATTGTTCTGATTCTCTTGGTGCGAGCTGCGACTTAATGGCTAAAAAATCGAAAAGACCATTTCTACAGAAATTTGGAATATTTTTTCCGGCTTTTTAGCTCTAGCTCGGTCAAAACAAGACGCACAGCCAAAAGAATGACTGATTTATGCAACTAAGAACCGAAACTTGAAACCCCTATACTCACTTTTATCATTATTGTTCTGATTCTCTTGGTGCGAGCTGCGATTTAATGGCTAAAAAATCGAAAAAACCATTTCTACAGAAATTTGGAATATTTTTTCCGGCTTTTTAGCTCTAGCTCGGTCAAAACAAGACGCACAGCCAAAAGAATGACTGATTTATGCAGCTAAGAACCGAAACTTGAAACCCCTATACTCACTTTTATCATTATTGTTCTGATTCTCTTGGTGCGAGCTGCGATTTAATGGCTAAAAAGTCGAAAAACCCATTTCTACAGAAATTTTGAATATTTTTTCCGGCTTTTTAGCTCTAGCTCGGTCAAAACAAGACGCACAGCCGAAAGAATGACTGTTTTGTGCTGCTAACGACCAATACTAACCACCCCTATCACTCGTTTTTCGATTTTGGGAAAATAAATTTTGACCCAAATTTCGCATTTTTGGTAAGGGGTACCATCATCAAAATTTTCAAAAAATGGCCAAAAATTAAGTTTCCCAGATTTGAATGCAAACCAATTGGGAATCATAGCAATCAAGTTACGAGCCCTACGAGGTATTACATTCCTCATTTGGATCATTTTTAGCTGTGTTATGCCAAAAAGACTGATTTTTTGGTGCTCAAAATCACGTAAAGGTCTTTGTGCAGCAAAGATTCCGGTTTCCTTGCCGTTTCTTAGCTCTAACTTTGTCAAAACAAGCCGCATGTCTTAACCAATGACTGATTTATGCAGCTAGGAACCGAAACTTGAAACCCCTATACTCACTTTTTTCATTATTGTTCTGATTCTCTTGGTGCGAGCTGCGATTTAATGGCTAAAAAATCGAAAAAACCATTTCTACAGAAATTTGGAATATTTTTTCCGGCTTTTTAGCTCTAGCTCGGTCAAAACAAGACGCACAGCCAAAAGAATGACTGATTTATGCAGCTAAGAACCGAAACTTGAAACCCCTATACTCACTTTTATCATTATTGTTCTGATTCTCTTGGTGCGAGCTGCGATTTAATGGCTAAAAAGTCGAAAAACCCATTTCTACAGAAATTTGGAATATTTTTTCCGGCTTTTTAGCTCTAGCTCGGTCAAAACAAGACGCACAGCCAAAAGAATGACTGATTTATGCAGCTAAGAACCGAAACTTGAAACCCCTATACTCACTTTTATCATTATTGTTCTGATTCTCTTGGTGCGAGCTGCGATTTAATGGCTAAAAAGTCGAAAAACCCATTTCTACAGAAATTTTGAATATTTTTTCCGGCTTTTTAGCTCTAGCTCGGTCAAAACAAGACGCACAGCCGAAAGAATGACTGTTTTGTGCTACTAACGACCAGCACTTTCCACCCCTATCACTCG